TTCCAGTTTCACAACTGTAATCTGGTTGCACAAATATTGCTGATACACTTCTGAATAATGCTTTGAACTAAATGTCTTTTTATTGAACAGCCATGCTGTCAGTTTCAACCGCGCACTCGATGTCTGTAAGCTGACTGGTGCTGTGCTGTTCTGTGTGGGAGGCACCGCCATGGCTGTAGGTCTCCTGCTGTCTGCCTTTGCCAAAAGTTACTCCAAAGAAGAACTGTATCTGCAGCAGAAGTTTAAGGAGAGGTTGGCCGATCTGCACGCAACAGTTGGTAAGGTTTCACTCTCTACTGTCTTATTATGGCACATAGTGGGATAAAGGTTACACTGCCAGTGAGTAAATAAGGGGAATAGGTTACTGTTATACTTTTTGCGCATGAATATCCCACCTAGCAGGACTGCTTTTATCACAGGTACCCCCATAATGAGAGCACCGACCCCCGGAGAGGGAAAGGTTCCAGTCACACTTTCCAAAGTCCAGAATATCCAGCCAACGACCACAAAATCAGAGACCTGACAGAAGTCCAGATGAAGGCATAAAGTGAAGAAGTGCGTGTGTGTGTAATGACTGATCGGTGTGCAGACTGCACGTGAGTGCAAACACGTGTGTGTATGTCGCTCTATGTGTGCATTTTCTCTTTTGAAAGGTCAGCTTACATGACTGATAGTATTGGCTCTTCATCTTTATTAGCTGTGTTTGACATTAAAGCTTGATTTTAAGGTTATATGAGCGCAGAGTTAATATAGCTGAGCAAAGTTTAAATCTGCTGTTTGAACATCAGCTGTATGAAATTCATAGTAATCTCACAAAGCACATGCAGGACTTGGAGCCCTACCCAGAAAACAAACAACAAAACAAATCAATAGAACTCATCCACTGAACAACAACATCATAGATTCCACTGAGTATCTCTCTGTCCAGAGGATTCACATTTTGTAAAAGGGGTTGGTGATTCTGCTGGAGGGTGCAGAGCAGCAGATGCAATGTTTGAAGTGGTGATTGGCCCCCAAACACAGAAATGATCAAAAGAGGTAGTGAACTCAACAACCATTATCTCTGCCTTGTGTCTAAAAGGACATCAGAGGAGTGTGTCTATGTTCAGAATACTTTGCGTGTATATGTATGTGCAGCGCAAATTCATTACAACACTCACAGTGAGAGCTGTCGATCAAAACCGCACAATACGAACACATTATTATTATTAGCTTATAAATACTTCTTTTAAATCCTGTTTCCATGCAACAACAAGTCAAGAAAAGTCTTAACAGATTATCTGCTTTTAGTTCACACATCATCAGAACAGATTAGAGATAAACACATATTAGAACAGACCTTAAGGGTAGATTTCACATTTGGCATTTTCTTCTGCCGTAAGGCCTCTGACCTTGTCTCTTTCAGTGAATCTTCAGACAGGATCAATAGGCGAGACCAGACAGGCTGATGAAAGTACAATGAAGCAGACAGAACATGCAGAACTACATAGTCTGTCACTTAAAAAAGAAAAAAATTACAGATTCAAACAGATTACTTCTCAGATAATACAAATAAGGCATTCATCTTGCCTTGTATCTCATATGAAAATATTTTTTCTTTTTTACTTTACCCATGTTCTTCTTACTTTCCTCTAGACACACACCTATCCATCCAAGCATACACATTTTTGCAACATTTTGAATGAAATTGTTGTCAGCTATGAGTCACGAGTCGGTAAAAAGATGAGCAGGTGCTGCACGTTAAAATGAAGAGAGACAACAACAACAACAACAGATGTGTTACGTAACAGGCAGATGAAGAGAGCACATTCAGCTCTCCAATGTGTGACCTGTTGTTCGACAGTGCTCATTGTTTTCGGTCTATCTGGAACCCGCAGACGATTTAGATACAGTAACTGCCTTCCTGTGGTAAGACACACATTTCAAACTACCTAGGATATTTTGCTGTGTAAGCTGAACAGTATTCCGTATGTAATACTGTCGAAATGTTGCATCATCAAAGCTTTTTATTAACTGGTTGCATATTCACTTACATATTACAGTATACTTGATGTCAAAAAAGAGGTTACATCAAGAAGGTTTTATCTGTTATATATAAGCTTGGCAGTCACACACTGTAACTTTAACTTAGAAGCACAACAAAGCTGTTAATGGTCATGTTTTGCTGCTTTTTAAAACTTTTTTGTCTATATTTATTCTAAATATGTTTTTGAATATTGTGACCACGCCACTTTACATTGTTCTGTTTGTTGTTTATCTTTTGAATTCATTGCACACAGATACAACTTATACTGTAAGTTTATTACCGTACTTGGTTAGAACAATGTTATAGTGGTAGTCACAATCCAAGTGCCATCAAGCTACACGCCTCCTACTGTGCATCAGTGCTGCAGGTCCTTCCAAACAGTTCCCCCTCTTCAGATACATGCAGCAACAATGCCAGATACTTACTGTATAAAATAACAAACTTCTGTATTGGCTACTTACTCTACGTTCATGTAAGTTGACCTTTTAATTATTATTCCTACCGCCTCCACTTTTCTGTCTTTCTACTTTTACGTAGAAAAATCCTGTGATATCATTTAAAAGCATTTGGTCTTAGATACAACATGTAGCTATAACTACAATGAACAATCTGTTAACAATTAAGACATTTCCAAGAAACTTACTCAGAAACCCACAGTACAAAAAGAAAAAGACAACGTGTTATAAACAAACCCTCCTGTGTGGTCGGAGCATCATTTAGTGGTCAAAAAATGTGCCGACTTGTAGTTCCATGCTGTAAATTGTGTTTATTTTCATCCTTACATTGACCAAAGTTGAGTTCTACATTACAATACCACATTCACAATGCATACTTTTTTCTGTTTTTAATCTGACCATGAAAAAAATGGTCTCCCAGTTTAAGTGTGTCCTGATGTAACAGTGGATTCTCCCAGTAAATAAAAAAATATATACTGTAGGTACTGGAGGTTGGATTGGATAAAGAACAAATATATATCAATGTCTATACAGTATGTCTATTTTTCAAAGAACACAATAAAATTGAAATATCCACCGCTCAAAATGTGTGAAGATTGTATTTATCTTTTTATTAAAAACACACACTATAAATGAACTATGAATAGAAATGAACAGAAAATGTATCTCCCCATCACCACTGAATTTGTATACACATCACATATTGTATACATATCATATACTTTGACTGATAATAGACCTAACAATACTGGCAACAGAAATAAAAGTAATCACATGTGCTATTAGGCCTTCCAAAATGGGCCAAATTATTGTTTTTATACTAAATATTTATTTTTTTAGTCTTGCACTTCTGTACTAATTTGTCAACTTTCTCTTCACTTTGTATCCTCCTAAAATTTTAAGTACTAGTGATACAGCATTCAGTATACTGTACATGTTTAGGCAACATCTTTTTTGTTAAAGATTAAGTGTACCCCCTTCACTTCATGGAGAAAAACATAGAAAAGAGTCATCATAGGATTTGGTTTTCAATGATAAAAGACTGTCATTGGTGTTCAAACATGCTATGCCTTGATTACACTGTGTAGAAGCTCTTACCGTAATCAAGCGACACAGTCATTTAGCTAGGGGAAGTGCAGAAAGGTGTCATTGCTATCCAGAGCCTTATTAACACACACGCACACGCACACGCACACACACACACACACACACACTTAAAGGGGGCAGTGGAGGAGATAACACATAATTGATGGTAACTCCAGAAATAGCACCTTGAGGATCATCACCTCGACCAGTCAGACCGTATGACTCACATGCACATCCCCGCCCCTGCCTCCTCTGCCTTCCTGTGTCTCTTGCTCTTTGCTCTCTCCTTCTACCTCACCCTCTATCTCTCTCTATCTCTCTCTCTCTCTCTCTCTCTCTCTCTCTCTCTCACCTGTGTTCTCCCTCTCTCGTGGGATGGTGACTCACAAACACATTGACTGCATGAATCCCAATTTGAACAGCTGCAGGGATGAGAGGGTGCTGAGGCCACCATAGACACCGAATTAGATCACAGTTCACACTACAGTTTCCTGCCTGTGGGAGGCAGTTTATAGTGGCTCTGTGCAACCTTGTGCCATGGGAAAACTGAGAGGCAAAATGACTGAATAAAAATAAAAACAGTGTTATACAGTGTTAGCTACAGTACATTACTTTCTAAATCTTGTCCTGCCTGTCTTTCTGCCATAATTAAAGTTGTTCAAAACTCAAGACTCTTTGCTAACCTTTGCATCTTGGATTAAAGGCCTAAATAAGTTATGGTGAATACACATTAGCATATTAAATATACAATACAAGTAGTGAATGTACCTGACAAAAATCCCCCTAGTACATATACTGTTGTAATATTATGCTGTGTGTTCTGAGGTTTAAAATGTTATTGTAAGCACTTGAGCTCATAATATTGTTATTAAGTGTATGTGTTGCAAAGATCTAACTCCTTAGTGAACAATTCATTTGCAGATGACCATTTAAAACATAAAATGAGAATATAAAACATCACCTATTGTTTTACAGTAGGCTAAATTTAACTAACTTCAATGAACTACAATATTGAAAGGCTGCATATAGTATAACAAAACAGAACAAATACTTTTGATTTTGATAGTTTAAAGTACATTTTTACCTTAATGGAATAATACGTTTTGATACTGCTTCTTTTACTTACAGTAAAAATAGTTCTTCCACAACAGTAGTGTGTACAGTAACAACAGGTTACTAATTTTATTGTGAATGCTAAATCCTTTTCTTGGCTCACTACATTTGCCTTAAACTTGCCCACAGTGACAGTAATTGCACATCGTTAAAATAATCAAGCTTTTGTGAAAGGAGAGCATTTGAAATAAAAACTACTTACCGAAGAACGATTCCAGAAATGTGACTGAGGTGAACATAAATATCCATCCACTGTGCGTGCAATATGACAAACACTAACCATATCCACTGCCACAAAAAAGTTATTATCAGACTTTAAGTATCATTTAATTTTTTATTATGTTTGGACAAATTTAAGTCATTTTATAATGAGTTGACAGATATAAGGAGATGGAGCAAAGTCTCTTTTATTAAAGCATCTGGTAACTATGTAATTATTATTATTAACCATCATTTTCTCTTTTATTTTCTGGTAGAAGATATATATATATATATATATATAAATAAACAAAAATGCATAAGACACAGTGACAGGATTATGATTAGAAATATGACTATATTAACACATAACTTGTTGGACATTCAGACAAATACAGTAGGCTTACAATATTACACATAGCTTATTGTGCTTACTTAAAAAGTTCATTTGTATCACTTTCTTTGGGACAAAACTTCCATACATACAAAAAACATCTTTAAAAACAAGCATCTAGTATAATCATACATGTTAAAAATAAATAGATTTTTTGAACATGTAATGTATGATGGTTTATGAACTACACTTTAATTTCCCAAGTATCACTCACTACAGTGCTCACAGACAGTTGTATATTGAAACAATCAAGCAGCCCAAGAGGTAATAGTGTGTCTTAATGAAAAATAAGAGTATATTATTATAGCTTTTATTTGTTTTGTCCATTTCAAACATGATAGTTTTGAACAAATTAATAATGTTTTGATAAATAACTTTTGAATACATACCTGAAATTTTGATGGTGCTTTTTTTTTCTCTTTTTTTCTTTGTTTTTTTTACTTTTGGACATAATTTAGCAGTCAGCCATGCAAAACATCTATTAGAGGCTCCATATTGGGACACTCTCTTATCAGTGCAGATTTTACAAGACCATCTAGTAAAAAATATCTCTGAATATGTCTTGGCTTTGCTTTCTGCTCTGCCACCTTCATTATTTTTAGATTGCATTGTAAAATATTGCTTGCTATTTTCAGCACGGCTCATCTATCAACTCCATTTTCTCTTTCTTTTCTACTTCTTCCCTTTCCCGCTTTTATCTTGGTTGTCTTTATCATTCTCCTCCCCTTTCTCTCCATTTGCTGTGGCATCTTTGCGACTGGCTGAGTGTTCCTCCTCCATGTCAAGCTCTGCTTCACTTTCCACCTCTTCATCTTCTCCACTTACCTTTCCGTTCACCTTTCTCTCCTCTTCTCCGGACTCTTTGGTAGCTCCCTCTTTTGTTTTGCTCACATCTTCTTCCTGGTTACTGTTGCTACTGTTACTTCTGCTGCTATTATTCTCTTTTGTCTCGTTATCTGACTGAGTCTTCCCCGGGTCATTGCTGTTTTCTGTCTCTTTCTGTTCCTCCCCCGTGTCTACATCATTAACTTGGTCCTCACTGCTTTTCTCCCCCTTTGCACTGTCTTTATCTTGCTTCTCTTCTTCTATATCTTTGTCTTGCTCATCCTTTTCACCCTCGGAAGATGTATGGCCTCCATCTTTTTTCTCTTGACTGTCCCGGGTCTTATCGCTGTTGCTACTGCTGGACGCCTGCTCCTCGCTCTTAACCTGCTCCTTACTCTCATCCGTGACCTCCTCCTTTACTTCTGCTTCTACCTCCTTTTTCTTCTCTTCCCCTCCCTCTTTTTCACCGTTTGTCTCCTGGTTTCCCATCTTTTCATCGTTGCTAGCGTTTTCAGCAGCAGCAGACTCTTCCTTCTGTGCTTCCCTTTCATCATTCTCTTCTGTGGCTTTTGCATCATCATCTGCAGGTTTCTGTAATGCAATAATACCACAGAAACAATTTATAATCTCTAAATATTTTAACAGGCATACAGTGTAATTGGATTGTTTACAGTAATTCTCCCTGTGACCTACACTTTCCTGAAAGAGAGCGACAGCGCTATTGAGTCATGAGCACTTACAAATGAAGTGGAGCCAAGGCATTATGGGTTTTTTTCTTGAAGACTCTTTTTTTATGGCATGTCAATCAATATGCAACAAGTAGTGGGAAAACAGCAGCCATTTGTGCTTCGTAATGGCCCATGGTGTATCTAACATAAGGTAAAAGAATATGTAAATGACTGGGTAATTAAACACTAGGTAATGCACAATTATATAGTGATACATTTGTTAACAAATACAATTCAAACTAATTCTTCACATAACACATGAGTGATATAATAATAATATGACTAATATGAATGAGTTACAGCAATTATGGGTACTAGGGGTGTAAGAAAATATTGATACACTTGAGTATCCACTGTATCCACTCTCAAAAACACGATTGATTTTTGTGTTTAAATCCCCAACCGCTAGATAACAGTAGGGCTGTCCCTTAATAGTCAAAGAGAACAGTCTTAGTCGACCCAATCGGTCAATCAGATGGTCACAGAAAAACAAAAACAATGTTAAACTCCATTCGGGAGCTTGTCACCAGCTGAAAATATCAGGGGAATGTTGAATTGCAGACCTTTTCTCTTGTAACACAGGAAGTCACTTATTGGTGCACTGATGTGCTAACTGTACTAGCTGCTGCCACTAGCGGCCCTATGAGCTCACAGTACCTGGACTGCGAGCATAAGAGCCTCCCAGGGACCACGGCCAGGACCCTGTCGGAGGCCAGGTGATTTACAGCGGCTCCAACCAGGACTATGACTCCGGGACAACGGTGACACGGCGAGTTCAGGCAGGGATGGGAGTGGCGTGAGGTGGAAGAGGAGCAAGTTTGGAGCAAGCTGATTTGTAAGTAACGTTATACATCATCCATTGACTTATGACTTATTGACTAATGACTTTACCTAATGACGGAAAATATTTAGTCTGGGAAATATATAGCAGTGTTATAAACGTAAACTGAGTACTATGATGTTGTAGGCACTGTGATAAATACAAATGCTGTGTTCCCTAATGAGAGATTTACACCTAAATTTCTACAAAGATGTATTTGACGCTCCCTGTAATAGTCTTATGTACATTATCAGTTTACCTCTTCAGCCAGTTGGTCTTGAGGGGTTTTGGGTTTTGTGTCATCAGCCTTTGATTCTGGGTCATCTAGGAAATTGTGAGAAAACAGAGGTATTTTAAAATAAGCATAGCAAACGTCAGAGAGGTGGGGGCTGATTTTAAAGAAAGGTGGCTGTTTCTTGAAAGTAAAGAAACAGGTTTAAAGCACATTTCAGTGTGTGATATGACATATAGAAACCCATCTTAATGTGTGATATTGTATCCTGAATGGGCTTGTTAGGGGGGGAAAAATACATGAAGGTGAGTGATGGCTGTCATCCTGGTGTAAATACTTTGACATTTATTCCATCTCACATGTGCTTCCACGGCAAATCAGGCACAATAGACACAGAGATGTAATAAAATGATAGGAATTGCATCAAAGACATGAATAATATTGTGATGCAAGGAGTTCCATTTGAAAAGGCTCAACAAGACTAAATGAAGCAGAATACAAATCTGCACATCACAGCACTATGTTTGACTGTAATATAAAACTACCCCAAATAGGTTGCTGGTTAATTCAGATGAATCTATTGCCACTCTTGTTATGTAAAAGCTTCATGCCATCAGTTTTGTTTTTCATTCCCTAATGCAATTTTACAGGTTCATTTTTCCTTTATGTGCTGACTACTTTTCAAGACCCTAAACCCTGAATTGCTCAGTCAGAGTCCATTACATCATTTCAGAAATCCATAAAGCCTCTCCTATAAATAAGGGAGCTTTTATTCATCCTCCAGTAAGTGACTTGTTGAAATTATATGTCTTTTATACCACAGATGTGTTTTCAGGTTTGAACAAATACAGCCCAAGAGTGACACCTGGTGGTGATGAGAAAAAACAACCCAAGACTAGTTCTAGCACGAAAACAACCTCCCCAGACAATGGAAGTGTGCCAAAGAGAACCAGAAAACATTTTACGAGCAAGAAGATCAAGGTCGTGAGGAGATTCAGAGTACAAATGCCACAATAGATCACTATCTTCCTCTTTATTATTATTACTATTATTATTATTGCTGTACCTTACCACACATATACAGAAACATAATCCAGTCCCATTAAAAAGATTCTCTCAGGTCCCCAGCAGGGCTGATTGATGTTCATGTCTGATACTGGTATTCAATATTCAAAACTGACCTGAAAGGAGAAATGGGTGCCACGTTTTATCTGCTGAAGCTATTTCATTTCCTACCTTTTAACAAAGCTTATTCCATCCAAGACACAATGTGTAAGACAGACTGAATAAAGTACTTGATTGCTTGCAAGAAAAAAGGAAAATAAAAGCAGGACTACAAAAACATATCTCGCACAATTTGCCAGAGGAAACACCTGTCATTATTTAACTGTGATACTGTGTGTTTGTATCATATTAAAATTCAATTCTTAGCAACACACAGATTTGTTGGAGTACAAAATGAATATGAGTTTTTGTTTTAGTTTTCATGTGAGCATGTGCATCAAACGCCTTGGAGTAATTAACCTAAAACATCATAAGAGGAATACAACTATACGCTCTGATAAACAACATAATTACACACTTGTTTTGAAACACTGGATGAGAGAGAAATTTCCAATCAGAAATAAGCGGCAAAAGAGTGTCGTAAAAAGAAAAAAAAAAAGAACAGAACAGTGTAATTAATGTCTTTAATATTAGTTTCCATTTCTACACATACCAGTTAAAGAAGAAAAATGACTTGGGTAGAGATTAGAAGACTTTATGGAGACATTTAATGCATTTCAAATGCAAAACTGATTGAAGTTTAGCTATGGTGGGAGATGAAACGTTATGGTAATAATAACGGACCTCTTTAAGAATATTTTATGGAAATCGCCCGCATTCATTAACAGAGAGGGCCGAACGATTGAGTGTAAGCAGTAAGCAGTGGATGATCCGCCACGACTCTAAACATCTTAACGTGATTTAAGGATGAGGCACGGGCTCATGAAAATGCTAAATCAAATTAAACGCAATATTTAGAATCTCCCTCTTGCTCTTCATTAAATCCAGTAGATTTGTGTTTTGGCACTGCAAATGGCTAGCCAGTTTGTGTACAGTATGTGTGTGCATAAATGTGAATGTCTCTTTTTTTTTTTTTTTCATAATCAAGCAAACACACACACACACACACACACACACACACACACACACACACACACACACACACACACACACACACTCACTCACTCACACACACATTGCTTCTGTCACTTATACACTACTGGCACACAAACACAGACAGAGCAAACCCACATTTCAGGAGTAATGCTACATCTCATCCATCAGTGTAAGGTAAAACAAGGATGCAAGTGTAAGTGGGTATAATTACTCATATAAATGGCTCTCGCTGCCTTTATTATGAAAGGTAAAGTTATAAATGGCTGTTGTTCCAGAGAAATGTAATAAAACACAACTGAAGATGAAGTGATAGCAGGTAGTAAACTACAATAACCTCCCACTCCTCAACAATCAAATTCAAGTTCTTGCTTTAGAAACACAATAATGCATATATTCTGCTGCAGGATTTTAGCTTTGTTGGACTGCTTTGTGAAAACAAAAAAAACGACTTTACTACACCTCAGCTACATACAGTAAGACTGTGCAGCTTTGATCTGTTTTTCCATTTTATGTGCTCATCCAATTCTAGTAGCCCTAACACACTGGGGGGGGATCCAGTGTGTGGTTTACACCAGGTAACATGATGTAAATATTATACCATGAAATATGTATGGATTATATTCATCAGCTTAATTAATAAAACAGCAATATGTATGACAGCAGAAACAACCCCTTGTCGTCCCCTGTGCTCAGATGAACCCCGCACCAGAACTACATTGTCAACAAGATTTATTTTATTCAAGTGCACAGTGTACGCAACAGGTACGTCTTCTCATTCCTTCTACAGGATATGAATTTGCTGTCAATCTTCTCTTGTTTACAGAAGTTGAAGCAATGAGTTTAAACTCAGCAGGGAACCAATATGCTAATAAAGATTTTCCTTTGTTGGGCAGAATTACAGAGCTACATTGTATATTATGCCACTGCATCTTTTCATGGAAAGGCTCTTATTCTAATGAAAAAAAATGAGACAAGGTTGATGTGCATTACATCAGTGTTTACTTCAGTCCTCCACTGCAGAGTTTGAGTGGGCAACAATGTCTAGCAGAGACTTGCTGGGTCTAATATCATGTTTAAAAGCTTTTCCACTCCTCCAGGAAGCGTTTCTGAATAAAACCCACACAGTGCTGTGCAATCAAGTTCTCGACTCCACAGGAAATCTGTAGCACACCAGGGCATGAATAATTTTTTTTTCATTGCAAATGGAACTATGAATAGGTTTATTGAGGATGTATGTTGCTTTTAACAGCTCCGAAGTCACTATGCTGAAGAAACCTGCTGCTTTTAATGTTGGGCAAATCTTTTATTCCAGTTTCTCTGGTAGCCTTTATGGCATTTTTCTAGGATTAGAAGATGTCCCCAGTGCTGTGACACAAACTTGCTGAACTGAATAAAGCTTTTGACACATTACTAGAAAACCACATTATTATAGAAAGAGTACTGGACATCTCAAAGAAAACAAAACATCAAATAATGGAAAACAATCGGCTTTTGTTTCTTTTGTATTTATCCCACTTCTTGCATCGCTTGATGATGAAAAATATCCAGCATTTACTGTGCAAGCTTGTATTTACCACCCAACATCCACAGCAGGTCAATCACAGTTGGTTGTTTAGTCCTTGAAATGAAAGGAATGCTGAACAAAATCAAGCCTCTTTCACCACAACTTAATGGAATTCACATTTTGTATTGCATCCTTTTCGTTGCTGATGTGCACCATGAGACACTTATGCTTTATAAACTCTGATAGGCTGACATCTGCCTCACAAGCATACTGGGTGTTCTTGATATACTTTGGATGCCATGGACGCCAATGCTACTGTTTGTTTTGTTTTTATTTGTTGTTGGCTGCAGAAGAGCAGAATCTTTATTTTGTCAAATCCGCTTCTCACAAGTCAATCCCTTAATGGTAGAGGTTGTAGTTCTAAGTAAAAACAAATCACTGCTTTAAAGCCCACTATATTTATGCTTACAAACCAAAGCAAAAATCGTTCACATGGCCTTCACGAGCCAGTTCTTTCAGCAGATTAGCTCTGCAGTGTTAAATAAACACTCAAGTCTTGATGTACTACCTAAATCACTCCACACAACACTCCCTGTATATGACCATACTGTACAGTGTATTGCTTATTTACACCCAGCTGATTTAACCCACTCAGCACATAGCTGAGTTATGGTGGGCTGTAAAACAACATGGGTAGTAACTCTGAATGGTAATTATGAAATGTTGCCACTCAGCAAGTGGGCTCCAGTCACTGACCAGGTCTTGTTAAAACATTTAATGACTGTGTGGCTGGCCACCATGAGAAGGCCCTGTTGGCACTGAGTGTATAGTGATTTGAGACACAGAAATACAACCCAGCTGCTTTGTGTAAAATCTGATGATTTGACATTGTGCTTGTTCATCAGTTTCCCTCTCTCTGTCATGCATACACAAAATATATTTCCATGTTATTCTTAGGTTTATACAGAAAAATAGCAGACAAAAGTTTGCAATGCTAATGCTTTGGAAACACAAAATTCCAACATTGATTTTACCCATGAAATCCAGTTGTCTGCTTGTCTACTTGACACAGAGCAATACTTAAAAACTATAAAAACTGTTGCACAGTGTTTAAAAAACTTTTCTAATGACAGATATTGAACTGCATTATTAGATCTGTAGGATCCAGTGTTTTTGGAGCTTTCTTGACCCATTAAAAGTCACAATATGTCAGCCTCTGCTGCTTTGATTTTGACCTTTCTTTTTTTGTCTCTTGTGAGTCCCCCACGTTTATGGAAGTGCAATGAAATCCTGAGTCTCCCTTTAAAAGCTTTCAGTTAATCAGCCTGGTGGAAACTCTTTTTAATGCATCTTGAATACATTAAAAAGAGATATACAGGGCTTATATTGTATATAATGTCCACTAAGAATACCACTAAACATATTTAG